GGAAAAAAAAAAAAAATAAAAAAGGCATCTCTGGCCCCCCGTTTTACTCTTTGAAGACATGAAGGCGGCCGCTGGAGTTGCCCCCCACGAGGACGTTCCTGCTGGGGTGCAGCACGTTGATGGAGCAGACGGAGGCCAGGCAGGGGGGGCTGCAGAAGGCGTGGAGCAGCCGGCCCGTGTCCTGGAAGAGCTCGATCTGCCGCGGCTGGGCCATGCTGCCCACCACGAAGCAATCCTCCCGCTTGGGGTCCCAGACCGCGCGGAACCGCGTCAGCCAGCGCCCCGTGTTGTTGTTGTGCCTGCAGGGGAACGCCCCGCAGGGACAGCGCGGGAGAGACATGTTCTCACGAAGCAATCCTCCCGCTTGGGGTCCCAGACCGCGCGGAACCGCGTCAGCCAGCGCCCCGTGTTGTTGTTGTGCCTGCAGGGGAACGCCCTGGGGGGAAAGGGAGAGAGAGTGCTGTTCTCTTTTCCACGAGGAGTGGTTTTAAGTGGTGTTGTTTAGGGCCTGTTTGCCCGACCCCATCTCTTCCTTCTGCCCGGACGCCGCCGGCGCCGCCACGCGCGGGACGCCCCGAGCTGCTCAGGGTGTCACCGCCCTGGGGACGGGGGGGTGGCACAGGGACAGGGAATGGAGCAAGAAGATAAAGCAGAGGGCAGCCTGACATAAGGGGCTGTTCATCAAAGCAGCTATGCTTCAGGGCTGCACTATTTAGTACAAGTAAGACAATCATGGAATCCCAGACTGGTTTGGGGGGGAAGGGACCTTTCAAGGTCACCCAGTCCCACCCCCTGCAGGGAGCAGGGACATCTGCAGCTAGAGCAGGGTGCTCAGAGCCCCGGCCAACCTCACCTGGGATGGTTCCAGGGATGGGGCAGCGACCACCTCTCTGGGCAGCCTGGGACAGGGGCTCAACACCCTCAGTGTCAAACATTTCTCCCTTCTCTCCAGTCTCAATCTCCCTCTTTGAGTTTCAAACCATCCCCCCTTGCACTGTCACTACACTCTCTGACAGTCCCTCCCCAGCCTCCCTCAAGCTTTCCGATAAACCATGAATTAAGACTTTTCAAGGCAATCACTCATCTAGCTCCAGCTTCTTCAGTGGAATCACTCCTGACAGTGCCTCACACTTCTGGAGCACAAAGGTGCTGAGACTCCACCCAAAACCCAAGTGCTTCACCATTAGGAAGTGACCTCTGATATCTAAAAAATGCACAAAGAAGCAGCACTCTGAAACAAAACACGTTTCAGAAGTCACAAAATGGTCAGACACTAAAGCTTCCCTGTGAGCTGGGGAAGAGGCACTGGCCCAGGCTGCCCAGGGAGGTGCTGGAGTCACCACTCCTGGAGCTGTTCAAAACAAGTGTAGATGTGGCTCTTTGGGACATGGTTTGGTGCTCATGGTAGTGCTGGGTTTTGGTGGTTGGACTTCATTAACTTAGAGGTCATCTTTTCCAACCTTAATGATTCTATGGCCTTCACCAAATCAAACAGCCTGTGCCCTGGTCTTGCTTTATGAACAAAACCACTCATGAGGACCAGGGCCAAGTCCTCAGGTGAGGCACCCAACCCCCAGGGTGCCCCCCTCTGCGTGCCCACCTCTGCCCCAGGGTGTCCAGCTTACCTGACCTTGCTGAGAAGGGTCGCTGTCAGTGACAGAGAGCTGGTGTCATAGACCCTGCAACACAGAGCAGGGCATTAACACAGGCAGAACTCCCCTCCTAGAGCACAGCCCAGACCACACCAGAACCACCAGCTCGAACATCAGCACCAGCATTCCAACTGCCACTGCTGGATTTGCTGGTTTAAGTGGATTGCTTTTAGCCAGAACTGCAGGGCAGTCTTTTGGAAAGCTCCCAAAGAGAGCAGGAACAGCTTGTGTCCAAGGCTTTGAGCCACACAGTCGAGTAGGAGGTTTGAATTTTGAATAATCCAGTGGTGGACTAGGTACAGAAGAGTTGATACTGTCATAATTTTAAGTACCAGCAGCTAAAAATAAATTCCATTTTGAAGCGTTTTCTATGTGTACTCAGAGCCAGGGTTTTGGCTGCTTTTTGCTTGGTTGGTTTCAGGTTTTTTGTTCAGGTTTGTTTGGTTGGTTTTTATGGACTAACAGTACCTGTATATTTTACTGTTCTCTGTTAAATATTCTTCAGGAAAATGAGAATTAAAAAAAAAAAACAAAAAACCCAAACCAGACTCTTTAAAAAAAAAAAAAACAAACATTAAAAAAAGCCATAAAGAAAGCAAGCTCTCAGTCAAGGATTAGGAGGTTGTAAAGAGATGGGGATGGGTGTCTATTCTCCCAAGGAACAAGCAACAGGACAAGAGGAACCAGCCTCAAGTTGCCCCAGGGGAGGTTGAGGTTGTCCCTGAGGAACACTTTGTTCCTCTAGAGGGTTACCCAGGGCTGTGCCAGGCTGCCCAGGGCAGTGGTGGAGTCCCCACCCCTGGAGGGGTTTCCAGGTTCCAGGGGTTTTCCATGATCTGAAAGGTCTCTCCCAACCCAAACGATTCTGTGATTCTATGGGTAACGTAGATAGGAAATAACCACTAACCCCCACCAGCTGACACTTCCATGACCATTCCCTCTGGCACTCCTCACCTGAGGGTGTCGTCGGCACACACGGTCACCACCCTGTGCCCGGAGCCCGGGGAGAAATAGGCTGAGGCCACGCTCTTGGTGTGCCCCTTCAGGGAGCTCACAGCCTTGTTCCCACTGGGCTTCAGGCAGCGAATGTCGTAAATGCAAACATCCCTGCAACACAGCACACAGCACTTCAGGAGGGGACAAGCATCATTCCCATCCTCCCCCTCCCACGCAGCGCTCAGGAAGCACCACAGGTTTCATGGGAGCTGCCTCGAGACCTTTACATCAGCTCAAATGCCCGGTGGCTCCAGAGGATCCTGAGAGCACCAAACCCAGCCCAAAGCAACAGCTCAGCCAAATCCCTCTGTGCTCTCATCTGTCAAACCCACAGTGTCTCCTAAAAGCATTTAGTACCAGTCTGTGCCCAACTGTCCCCATTACCAAAAGGGTAATCCAAATCAAATCCACTTCACACCCTGCTAGGACTGCTTTAGTGTCCAAGCTAAAAGCCTGGGCTATAGCAAAACTTGGTGTTTTTAGAAAAGCTGTTGCTCTCTGACAAGACCAGGAAAGCTTTGCCTGCACAGCGAGGGTGACAAACTGCCTGAGCAGCAGCTGCCCCCTGGGCTGGCTCCAGAGAGGGCTCTGGGAAGGGGCAGTGGCTGGTACCCACGTGAGGCCCGCGGCGATGAAGTACTGCCTGTGCAGCGGGTGCACGTGCACCGTCCGCGTCTTCCTGAAGCCGATGTCGGCCTGAAGCTCCGGAGAGGCCCCCGGGCTGCGTCTGTCCACCAGGGCCACGGGGCCACCCCAGCAGCCCACCACGGCCACGCTGCCCTCCTCACCCAGGAAGTCAAAGGAGGAGAAGTTCTCCTCGCTCCGGCAGATCTGTGCAGACAGGGGCAGGTGTGAGAGGAAGGAAACACCCGGAGCTCCGCACAGCGCCCGCACAGCCACAGGTCTCCTGCTCCCTCTGTGAGAGGCTGAGCAGACCAATGAAACCCACCCCATCCCACAGCTCCAGTCCTCGCTGTCCGTGCAGACAACCACAGTGCTTCCCAAGGAGAGAATTAACCAGCCCACACGGGCAGCACCGTGCTGAGTTCTGTGTCAGAGCTCTCCCAAGGCACCGTCACCCTCATGCCCCCCTGAGGACGCGGGTGTTGTCCTTGGCATGTACAGAGGGAGGATTAATGCTGCTGTTCCTCCCTCCAATGCTACAGAAACTTTTAATTGGGTGCAGAAATGTCCCCCAACTTAGAGGAAGCCATATCCACGAGAGCCAGGATGTCAAACCAGCTCATCCCACAGCAGTTTCCCACCAAAGCAGCCATCAGTCAGCAGCACAACAATGCTGCAGGGAAGTGTCTGTGTTCCAGCTCCCTCTGGGTGTGCAGACCCTCTCTGTTAGCAGCTGTGCTTCTCCCAACAGCAGGAATATTCCCAAAGCTGTGTGATTTGGAATGAGGTAAATGGAGCCAAGGAACAGCATTTCTCTTCCCCTCACCTCTGAACACACATTCTGCTCACAGGAGGCTGGAGCCAGGTGGGGTTCAGGCTCTTCGCCTGAGGAACAAGCAACAGGACAAGAGGGAACAGCCTCAAGTTGCCCCAGGGGAGGTTGAGGTTGGCCCTGAGGAACAATTTGTTCCCCTGAGGGCTGCCCAGGGCCGTGCCAGGCTGCCCAGGGCAGTGGTGGAGTCCCCGCCCCTGGAGGGGTTTCCAAGCCCTGGAGATGTGGTGTGAGGGACATGGGGCAGTGGGGACCTGGCAGTGCTGGGGAATGGTTGGACCCCATGATCTGAAAGGTCTCTTCCAACCCAAATGACTCTTGGATTCTTGCAAGCATCTGTCTCAAAAAAGAGCTCCCCTGGACTCTCCTGGCTTCTCAACCACCAACCCCAGACACTTGCCAAGCTGCCTGCAACCCTACCAAAACTCACTGCCTGCAAGGGCTGGGAAAAAAGGCTCTGGCGAGCTGTAGCTGGTTCAGTTCTCAGGTGCTGGCGAGCTGATCCGTGCAGATGCAGCTGCCAGCAGTAGGTGCAGAAGGCCAGCAGCAGGGAGCTGCTCAGCTGGGCTGCCTGGCTCACTGCTGAGACACTCACAGAGCTCCGCTCGCTCGAGGCCGGAGAAAAGCAAAGTCAGCTCCTGCTTTGTGTTGGTTTATTTGGGTGGGGGCCCTTTTTAAGATTTAGTTCTTTGACTCGCCCTCATTTGTCATCACTGAAAGGTAATGCCCGTGAAAAGAGGCATGTATGGCTTCAGGAGGAGTGAGGCAATTAAATTCAGTAATCCCAACTCCCTCTGCAGGCAGGAAGCTGTCAGTACCCAATAGTTAACTACGGTTTATTGAGTAGGAGGCATCTCCCTGTTTTTATGATGTTAATTAAAGGTTACTTCCCGTGCCCTTGTGGAAGTGGAGTCTTGAGCTTTGTTGTTAACAAAACAACCAACAGTAAGAACTCGGTACAAGGAGAGTGGAATGTCCCAGCAGTGGGTGCCACGGGAGCTCTCACTCCTCACCCCTCACTCACCTCATCGAAGACAGCCCTGGTGACATCACCACACCGCAGAGACTCCTCGCTTAGAGACACCAAGTGAGCAGGGTTACAGGGAGAAAAATGCATGCAGCTGACCAGCCTGCTGTGGGGAGTGAAGACGTGGGATCCTGCCTCAGACTGGCAGTCCTGAAACACAACCGAGACTCAGTGGGCACAGACACAGCCCCTGCGGGAACTTCTGTCATCTACTGCAACACTCCAAGGCAAGTCTCTGCTTTTCAGTGCTCTCAGTCTGCTCTGGATAATGGTAGAGAGGAGGAAACAGGGTGCATCCTGCCCCAGGGGAGGTTCAGGTTAGCCCTGAGGAACAATTTGTTCCCCTTGAGGGTTGTCCAGGGCTGTGCCAGGCTGCCCAGGGCAGTGGTGGAGTCCCCATCCCTGGAGGGGTTTCCAAGCCGTGGAGATGTGGTGCTGAGGGACATGGGTCAGTGGGAACCTGGCAGTGCTGGGGGAGTGTTGGACTTGATGATCTGAAAGGTCTTTTCCAACCTAAGAGCATTCTGTGACATCAGCAGAGGCAGCACCAGCAGCCCGATCGCTCTGGGGCACGGTGCACCCACACAAGTAATTCAGCTTCACCACTACCCAAGTACTTTAGCTCAAAAGAGCACTAAGAATTCACTCTCTGCTTCAGAATTAGGAAAAGCTGCTGTCGTTCCAGTGCACTCCCATCACTGCAGCCACCAGCATGGTGTCACTGAGCTCTGGCTCCCACGGGCAGAGCTGTTTTCTCTGTAGCACAGCTGAAGCTCTTGCTGAGGACCAGGTATGTGTCAGCCTTTTCCATCAGAACAGGTACCTATTAGGTTGCTTAGAACTCACACTAAGCTATAGTGACCCAAACTGAACTAAAGAGTGATCTCCTGCATCTCAGCAGCCACTGGAATCATGTCCCCAGGGCAGTGGTGGAGTCCCCAGCATCAGACACTGCTAAGACTCAGCTGCACAGGGTGCTGGGCCAGCTCGTCTAGAGCAGGCTTTTGCCAGGAAAGGTTGGACCAGATGATCCCCGAGGTCCCTTCCAATCTGGGATTCCATGATTCCAATTCCCTTCCAATTTTGGCATCATTCCAGCTTTGTTTTTTAAAAGAACTTGAACAGAGCATTTTGGAACAAGCGCCAGTTCATTCCACAAAGATTACTCTGCTCCCAAACTTGGTCAAGTTCAACTCGCTGCAAACAAATGAAAAAGGGGAGAGCCAAGGGGGCAAAGAGGAGCTCTGACATGTCTTTGCAGGGCCTGCAGCCCCCAGAGAGCTCAGCTGCCCCCTCACTGCTCACTCTCTTCCACCCACAGTGACCACCGCTGCCGACACAGCTCTCCAAACTGGATGGGGCTGTTTAAACTCCTTCAAGACTGAGCAGGAGTCTCAGAGCTGAATTGATTTACCAGTTTCCCAAAGCTGTCACAGCAGAAAAGAGTCAAAACTCAGGAGCTTAAGGACATTGTGAAAAACGAACAGAAAACCTCCACGTGTGAGAGCTTCAGGCAGCTGTGGGGTCGGAGGGGAGGGGGCAGCTCCAGAGGCCTCAGCCACGGGCAGGAATAAGGACTCTTGCTGCAGGAGTAACTAAGGCAACTCAGAAATGATGGTGAGCCTGTCTGCAAAGCCCTCACAAGTTTTCAGAGCCCCCAAGGCTAAGCTGCTTCTCAGAGAAGATGTTGGTAAGCACGTGCCCGCACACATGCTGGCACAGCCCTGCCAGCCCTGCTGTCTGGAGAAGGGTGACTTACTGCAGCCACCCAAAACTTGTACAAACTCTAACAAAAAAATACCCAAGCATGTTTCCCCTCACTCTCCAAAACCTGGTTGTTGTTCTGCTACAAGGTCACTGTAATTTGTTTTGGAATCTCTCAATGGTGAAATGCAATTTGAACCCTCACCAATAGCATTACGTCAGGTAGGGACCCATTTTCATCAAATCCCAGACTGGTTTGGGTGGGAAGGGACCTTGCAAGGTCACCCAGTCCAACCCCCTGCAGGGAGCAGGGACATCTGCAGCTAGAGCAGGGTGCTCAGAGCCCCGGCCAACCTCACCTGGGATGGTGCCAGGGATGGGGCAGCGACCACCTCTCTGGGCAGCCTGGGACAGGGGCTCACCACCCTCAGTGTCAAACATTTCTTCCTTCTCTTTAGTCTCAGTCTCCCTCTTTGAGTTTCAAACAATCCCTCCCTGTCCTGTCCCAACAGCCCCTGCTCCCAAGTCTGTCTTGAGCTTTCTGACAGGCCCCTTGACCCCCAGCAGGTCTCCCCAGCTGGAGCCTTCTCCTCTGTGGCTGCCCCAGCCCAACTCTCTCCTGCTGGGCTCCCAGCAGAGGGGTTCCAGCCCTCACAGCATTTCTGGGGCCTCTTCTGGCCCTGTCTCAACACAGGTCCCTGTCCTTGTACCAGTGCACCCTCTCCTCCCATTTTACCTGGGCTTGCAAAGACCAGACAGACTTTCCATGCAATTCTGATGAGCCTCCACTTAGCAGACACCCCAGTGTTACCCATGAGGTGGGGAATTCTAAGCCTGACACAACAGCTCTCCAGGCTGTGCCTCACCTGTGTCCATCCCACCACACCCAGCTCTGCCAGGGGAGGACAACTCACCACGTTCCAGAGACACAACAGCTCTCCAGGCTGTGCCCCACCTGTGTCCATCCCACCACACCCAGCTCTGCCAGGGGAGGACAACTCACCACGTTCCAGAGGCCGACCTGCCCAGTCTTGTCCCCAGCCGCCACGAGGATGATGCTCTCGGAAGGATGGATGGCCATGGAGCACACCCGGTACTTCACCACCTTCCTGATGTTCTCCTCGCTGAGCACCATGCTCTTCAGGCTGTCTTGGTACCTAGACAGCACCACCAAAACATCAGTGACTCAAGGAGAAAGGAGAACCAGACAATCCCCAGGCTTTAGCTGCTGCCTTCACAACACCTTTCCATGTCACACGTGCGCCTCTCAGTGTCCTCAGCTTTCACCTACAGATAGAGATCAGAATCAGAACCAAAGCTCAATTACATTACCCAAAAAATAACTAATGGTGACTAATAAATACCTCACTTATCCTCATCCACGTAGCCAGCAAGTCCTCTGTCGATTCACTGCTCCCCATCTCATCTTCTGAAACCATGGGCAAAGGCCCTGCTGGAACCTGAGGCTGAAACGACATCAGCAATTTTCCTAACTCAAAACAACAAAAATTACAAACAGGGTGAATTGTGTTCTCAGAATATGTGGTGTGGGGAAAGTAACACCTACAATAATACGAGGAATAAACATTAAAAAAGTTTGTATCGAAATCTTATTGAAAAGATAATTACAATTTCACTGAACAGAATGGCAAAGACAAGGGCTACCTGTGTTTTTTCCTCTCCTTTCTAATGCCTCAGCAAGGCTGATATTCAGGAACTGTAGTGAAAAAGATTCAGTCCCACTCTGCTGCCCCACAGAAGATTTAAACTCCCATCTCTCAGAGCCATAGAATTTTACTTGCTGCTATATAACTACATCAGAAAGGTGGTAAATACTTCAAAGGAAATTAAGCCAACTCAAAAGCTACAGTGAAATAACATTAAAACAGAGTAATAAAACCTTGAATTTAAAGCTGGTCTCATCTTTGGGCTGTGGAAAAAGGCAGAACATTTCACCTTGGGCCTTTCTGAGCATCCACAACCACCCTACTTCACCAGAATGGCTTTTGGAGGGGACATGGGCAGCCTCTTGATGCTCGAGGTGAAAGAACTCACCCCTGTCACTGCTGCCACTGCACAACTCACCACCCCAAACGTCTACAGGCTTGTACAGTAACCTCAGCAATGCCCAGTGCCTCCACCCAGCTCCCCCAGCACTGTTTCCACACAGACAGATCCCCTCATCTCACATCTTGCTCTTCGGCGGGCGGCTCTGGCTCCGGCTCCGGCGTCCCCACGGGCTCCACTCTCAGCAGGCGCATGGACCTGCGCCGCACCGGCTCCTCCTCCACCCTCCTGGGCTTTGCCCTGCAACAGCCAGAGCACTGCCCCATCAGTTCAGCAACCCAAGTCCCCTCCATCTAGGACCAGCGAGGTGGGTCTGGTGCACAGCTCCACCACCCCGGCCCCCAGGCACAGGCAGACACGTTCTGACCCACGTCAGGAGCCCGTCGTTACTTCTTCCTCCAGTGAGAGCAGCGAAGAACAACAAGAGCACTTTGCACTGCAAACACATGTACTGCAGTTTCATGTTGCTTGTAACACATCCTGCCACTGTCACTTCTCTTCCCAGCCCTCCTCATTTATAATTCATCCCTCACTCTCTGATCTAGTCGCCTTTTCCCGCTTCCTTTCATCACACACCTTGTTCTTTTTGTGTTTTTCTTCTTTGCCTGGCACTGCCAAATGTCTTGTCTCTCCCTCAGAATCACAGAATCAGCTTGGCTGGAAGAGACCTTTAAGAACTTCAAGTCCAACCATTAACCCAGCACTGCCAGGTCCCCACTAAACCACGTCTCCTTTTGTGTCTAGAGCTCCCCATCTCTTCCTTTCCCACACCTCTTCCCACCATTTGTTTTCAATGTTTAACTCTTCTTCGGCCATCAAGCAAAAATATGCTTGAAACACCTTAATACAAACACCACAAAAAAGAACAAATTCAGTAATCTGACAAAAAAATTATATGCCTGCTGTCATCTGCTCCCAAAGGACAGCAGAGGAGAGGCAGCACCAGGAGCTCCCTGTCCCCACAGCTTTGGATGTGCAGGTGTTCAGGTGCAGCTCTGGGGACTCTCCTCTCCAGCTCCCCTGCCCCAGGTGCCAGGGGAAGCCCTGAGCCCACTCACACCCAAAGAAGGAGCCAGGACACAGATCTCAGGGATGGTCCTTTTACCTTTTGGTGACATGAGATTGTTTTCTAGTGGCAATCTGGTGAAGTCTTGCAGCTGACTTAAAGAGAAAAGAAGAGAAAAGATTAAAAACACATGTAACAAGCCTAAAAGATTAACGCTTATAAAATACAATTATCTAAAGGCTGCAATAAACTCTATTGCAATTATTTATAATAAAAAGGGGTTTTAAGCATCCAGCTGTGCTGTGCCTGCTCTGCTGCCCTGTCCAGCAGGAACGCTGGGGGCTGTGAAGGCTGCGTGGGAGCAGAGCACAGCCTGGCTGCTCTGCAGCCCCCTCTGCACTACACACAGGGAGTCCTCCCAACCTTACAGCCAGAGGACCATCATGGAAAAGACCTCCAAGAACAAGTCCAGCCATCAACCCAACACTACCATGACCACTAAACTATGTCCCCAGGTGCCATGTTCACACGTATTTTGAACCTCTCCAGGGATGTGGACTCCCCCACTTCCCTTGGCAGCCCCGTCCAGTGCCTCCACAAAGGTCTGCCTTCCCAAGGTCTGGCTTTCCAAGAA